TAGAAATGGTAAATTCAATTATTATATATAATATAGTCAATAGGTTTGTAAAAAGGTCTACAGTTTCTGATGGACAAAGAACCTGGAATGAGGTGTAAGAAGATATGCTGAGGAGGTATGGGATGAGGATATAGAGTTATTATATCTTACTTAGGAAATGTGAAAGAGAAATATAAAGAAGAAGGTTAGTAGCAGAAGAATAGAGAGGTAGTAATTTTGGGTAGACAAGTTAGAGGAAAGAGAGTAGATTACATAAGACAAACATACATTAAGAAAAATTTTAAAATGTTAAAATAGTAAAAATTGGAGAGAAAAAAAAAAACAAAAAGAAGGAAAAAAGGAATATACCAAACAATTGTAATATACTATTCAGTTGTCTCTGTCCTCAATATCCTAATTCATGCAAAGTACATAGTTTCACATATGTTGGAGATGTGAGGGTAGGGAATAAAAAGGGAGAATAAAGAAAAAAAACTCAAAGGAAGAAACAATGATTGTTTTGGTTGGAAATCACTATCTTTCTTGTTTCCCATCTCATCCAATAGACGGGAATGTCTGTTCTTAATTGGTATCTCTGCCCTCAGGATGGTGGGGGTTACTAGGGCTTGAGGGTTGGTCTTGTGTGCAGGGCACCTGGAAGTGGGGTACGGCACCCACACGTCCCATTRGGAGACTGCACCTCAAGCATCTTCTTTTGGGATCTGCTCCTATGACATGGACACCAGATCCTATCTTCTCATGTCATCTGTAGACCTCACAGTTCCTGCCCTCTAAATTAGTTTCTAGAGTGTGTATCTCCCTCACCGTCTCCCTTTCTACTTCTTAATCAGGAACCTTTCTCTCTGTGGGTCTTATGTGTTGCACTCTGGTGGCTGTGCACCTGTCACGGAGGGCTGTTTTGTATTGTTCAGTCACTCCACTGAGTTAGCAGCTGCAGGGGAGTTGGAGCTAATTAGAAAACTATGGGTACCTGGCTATCTAGTTCCAAAGTGGTAGTTGCTCTGACTAAAAATGGTGATGGAGGTGACCCAAGATGGAGGGTGCTGCTTTCAGCCATGGGATGTCGGGTCAGGAGGGGGGGARTCAAGAGATGTTGTTGTGTAATGCATCCAGAGATGCACTTTGTGGTGTGCAGTGTTGAGGTTGTTGGCTTTCTTCAGAGACTGTGATGTCCCCAGGTGCAGGCAGGCTATTGCAAGTAGGGGACTATGGCTGTAGCTGCCAAATTCCAAGATGGAGGCTACCGGGGGAGCCCCATCTTAGTAGATGGGAGTCCACAAAGCAGTGGCGGCGAGAGTTCCTGTGCTTGGGTAGCAACAGAATGTCCTTTGTGGGAGCAGTATCTGGGAATTCTGTGCTGGTGCAATGCCAGTGGTCTTGCAAAGGCACCTACAAGACCTGTATAGATGAATAGTTGGGAGTTGGGATTCCTTAACGCTAAGGCTTAGGGCCCCACGCTGCATGGTGGCCATGATTCTTGAGTGGGATCCACATGGAGGGGTCCTCTGTCACAATCATCAGAGCTTGGTGCTGATAACGCCAAGGTCGCGGGTTCGATCCCCGTACGGGCCACCAAATGCCGCAGTCTGGCTGGGCACAATTCAGGAGCCACTTGTCAAAAGAAACAAACTTTATTTTTAAAACTACAAACGCCAAACAAAACAGCTCCTCAGGAAAAACCCTCAGAGCCCAACTGCCACCACCGGCTTCCACAAGCCTCTCCCACACACCCCCCACCACCTCCCACAATCCTCCTGCTCTTGAGGCCGATTGGCTGGGTCGCGTGGGCGGAGCCAAAGAAGTCCCCCAATGAGCAGTTCCGTAGTCTGAAGGGCAGGGAAACAGCCCAATGAACATGACCGCAGAGGAGCCAATCAGCTAGATGTTGCTGGGGCCACTGTGAGCCAATCATCAGCTGGCAGTCTGAAGGGCAGGGAAACAGCCCAATGAACATCACTGCAGAGGAGCCAATCAGCTAGATGTTGCTGGGGCCKCTGTGAGCCAATCATCAGCYGGCAGCTGGAAGTTTGCTGGCAGCTGGAAGTTTGCTGGGGCCCCTTTGGCTGTGGCTCTCAACAAAAGCAGTATTCCCACTAGTTGAGACCCAGGTCACGGAGTAACACAGAATGTTGCCTCCCTTTGACCTGCCATCTTGGATCATCGTTGGTCTGTCTTTTGATTGGTGAGTTTAGGCCATTAACATTCTGGGTTATTATTGAGACATGATTTGTATTCCCAGCCATTTATGTTTATTGTTGGTATTTAACTTGATTTGTTTTCTCCTTTTATTAGTTTTTCCTTTAGTGTAATTCCTCCTTTTGCTGATTCTCATTGTTGTTTTCCAATTCCTCTTCATGGAATATTTTGCTAAGGATATTCTGTAGTGCAGGCTTTCTAGTTGTAAATTCTCTTAACTTTTTTTTTTTTTAATATGGAAGGTTTTTTATTTCATCATCAAATCTAAATCTTGATGTTTTTTCTGGATATGAGATTCTTGGATGGCATCCATTTTCTTTCAGAGCTTGGTATATATTGTTCCAGWATCTCCTGTCTTTGAGGGTCAGTGTTGAAAAATCTGCTGAGATGCAAATTGGTTTCCTCCTATATGTGATCTGATTCCTCTCTCTTGTGGCCTTTAAGATTGTATCCTTATTCTGTATGCTAGGCATTTTCATTAAAATGTGCTTTTATGTGCATCAGTTGTGATTTTGTACATTTGGTATCCTGTAAGCCAATTCTAATTGGTTTTCCAATTCATTTTTCATGCTTGGGAAATTTTCTGATATTATCTCATTGAAGAGATTGAACATTCCTTTTGTTTAAAACTCTGTATCTTCCTCTATGCCAGTAACTCTTAGATTTGGTCTTTTGATGCTGTCCCATAATTCTTGGATGTTCTGCTCATGGTTTCTAGTCATCTTCACTGTGTGGTCTACTTTATTTTCCAGATTCTATACTCTATCTTCATTATCTGATGTTATGTCTTCCAAGTGATCTAGTCTGTTGGCGATGCTTTCTATTGAGTTTTGTATTTGGTTTATTGTTTCCTTCATTTTAAGGATTTCTGATTTTTTTTTCAAAAACTCTATTTCTTTATTGAAGTAATGTTTTGCTACCTGTATCTTCTCCCTTATCTCTTTGATGGTGTGATCAATGGATGCCTGTATTTACTTCCTTATCTGTTTATTGGTATCATCAATGGCTGTCTGTATTTGCTCTCTTATCTCWTTGTTGGAGTGATCAATTTTTGCCTACTTATTTTTAATTAGTACATTATATTTATACATAAAATTTGAATTCATTGTGATATGTTTCTACACCCGCATAACATATATTGGTTACTTTCATTCTACTGTCCCTTTCCTTTCCATTTCTCATCCTTCTTGCTGTTTCCCTACCTCTTTACTCYACTTTTCCCTTCTGTTTTCATGAGATCCCCACATTTTCTTTTTTTTARTCCCATTTCTCCATAGCTTCTGCGTGGAACTTCCTTGGCTTTCTGCTTCTGGTTTATTTCACTCAGTATGATGTTCTCTAATTCCACCCATTTACTGGCAAATGACTTAATTTCATTCCTCTTTATGGCTGAGAAAAACTCCACTGTTCATACCACATTTAATTTATCTAATCATATATTAAAGGATACCTAGATGGATCCCATAACTAGGTTATTGTGAATTGTGCTGGTATAACCATCGTATCCATATAGTATAGCATGTATCCTTATATATACTGATTTTAGGTCTTTTGGATAAATAGCAAGGATTGGCTAGTTGGTTCATATGGTAATTACATTCCTAGTTCTTTTTTTTTTTTTTTTTTTTTTTTGGCACTGGGGATTGAACTCTAGGACACTGGACCCCTGAGCCACATCTCCAGACCTGACTATGAACTCAGGGTACTCCTGCCTCAGCCTCCTGAACCACTTGGATTACAGGCATGTGCTACTGTACCCAGCTACATTTCTAGTTTTTTGAGGCATATCCATACTGTTTTCCAAAGTGGTTGTCTTAGTTTTCAGCCCCTTTCAATACTTTTTTTCTCATATATTCACTAGCATTTATTATTACTTGTATTTTTGATGATTGCTATTCTAACTGGAATAAGATGAAATCTCAGTATAGTTTCAATTTGTGTTTTCCTGATTGCTAAGATGTTGAATATTTTTCTTATATTTGTTGGCCATTTGCAGTTCTTCTTTTGAGAAATGTCTGTTTAGTTCATTGGCCCATTTATTGATTGGGTTATTTGGTAAGATTTCTTTTTTTTTAAAAACATAGCACATACACCCTGTTTATTAATCTTTTGTCAGAAGAATACATGGCAAAGATTTCCTCTCATTCTGAAGGCTCTTTCTTCATGCTGTTAATTGTTTCCTCTAAGCAACTATAAAGTTAATCGACAGTACTGGTGTCCTTTCTGATTCTTGACTATTGCATTTTCATACATTTTAATACTCATCTTCTTTCACTTTGAAATCACATTATGAGTAGAGTATATGAAATGAAATGATTTAAAACATTTCATTGCACCACCCCAATAAAGAATGATTTTCTCACTTCTAAATTGCWCTTCTAAATTGTATATCCATATGTCATGGACTTGAAAGAGGCATGAGCTATGCATTAACCTGGTTTTGGAGTACAGTATTTGTTTTCTCTGTGTCTGCAAATGATGATGATAAGATTTTATAGCCTGATTAGTATATTGAAATCATTTAACAAATTCTAAAATAATCCTTAGAGAATCTAAAGATAACAGATCTTTCATTTCTAGTTTTACACTGAATAGGTTCTCAGATAAGCTATTAAAATTTAATTTAAATTGGAAACATTGTTGTGAATACTAAAACTGTGTATATTTTGAGTTTGACCCMCTTAGAGTATAACTGTGAAGGAGTTCAGGTGACTTTTATCTACTAGTTTGTGATTTTTTAGAGATGCATTATCACGTATCATTCTTGACCTTTAATATCCTAATTATTCTCCTGTTTATTACAGCTTTAGTAGAATTACTTGAAACTTTTGTGCTTCATCTCACTGAAAATCCATCTGAATGTTACTTCCCCTCAGTGGAATATACAGGTACATTTTAAACATTCTGATGTTTAAAAATGCTCAATGTGCAAATAAATAATATTTCATAAAGATGTATAATTAAATTTCAAAAATGTGCAAGTTTTCCCATCCTTAAATCTATTGTTTGATGTCATTTACATTTCAGATATCAAATCTCTTTGCAATTGTATGTTTCCTTGTAATTCTGGGACTTTCTTTTTGTTTGTTTGTTTGTTTGTTTGTTTGATTTATCCATTAGATTTTGTTTTTCTTTAGGTAGTATCTTTCATTCTTCTGATCTTATCAGGTATTCTCTAGTGAGCACGTCTCATACTATTTTACTTTATCAGTGTTTTCTGTTGGAATATCACAATATTTCAGGCTGGGTAAATTATAAAGAAAAAGGTTTGATTTGGCTTTTCTGGTTCTTGCTCAAAGTTGAGAGAAGGAGACATCTCATGAATGACTTTCTTTCTGACAGAGTTCTTARGTGTATGGTGCAGAGCAACCTGAACTACAAAGAATGCATATGTCTATGTTCTGATCTCTCCTTCTTATAAGAGCTGTCATATTTAATCATGAAGGCTCTACTTTTATGAGTTTACCTAATCCTAATATCCCAAAGACTCTATCTCTATCATGCCATAGATTAAGTGTCAACCTTCTTATATCACGCATTGAGGATTAAACTTCAACATGAGTTTCAGAGGAGATGAACCATATTCAAACTGTAGCCTACATATTTACCTCACTTCAGATAAATTAATGTCTTTAAAATTTATGTCTCCTCAAAGTCTACCATAAGTTTCATTCTCTTAGTTCCATCTGCCTACTTGGTAACACCACCTGAATGTAGTATAGAATACTTCAAACTCTGAGTGTCAGCAGGGACTTTGGATCTTATTGACATACGTTGTCCTCCTGCATTTTCTATCGTGATAGGCACTACGTTGATCTACTGACCATCTAAACCAGAAACTAAAGAATCATCACTGACTTTAAGTCCACATTTCCAACCACTCAGTTATGTTCTGTTATTAATATGTCTCAAATTCATCTAATTCTACCCATCTTTACTCTTATTTATGTTGGTTCGGTCCAACATCATCTCTTCCCTTAGATATTACAGTAGACTTTCTATCCATGGTATATCAATTTGGAGTTTTATTCTTTCTCAAAGGTATTCTTTACACTGCTCGTACAGTGAACTTTGAAGTGCAAATCTGACCCACTTAGTACCCCTTAGAATTTACCCTTTATCACTACGTAGGGTCTAAGCCTCCCATGGTGCTCCAGGCCTTACATTTTCCTGCCCTTTTTTTTTCCCCTCTAGCATCATCACTTTCTCTGCATACCTCATGSTTGTTTTTCAAGAACACTATTCTTTTACACATATATTAATACCCACATATTCATTTATTCCTCAAATAGATATTATACCTTACTATGTACTAGCATTTTTTAAATTGTTGGGATGCCAGCAGCAATCATGAGAAAAATATTGCCCTCATAGACTTCAYCTTCTGGTGGGAAGATAGAAATAAATAAAATGTTCAGTATGTCAACTAGTATGGTGATAAATGAGAAAAACACAACAAGATAAGGAACAGGAAGTGCTAGTTGGAGTGGTAGTTTCAGTATAATAGCATTTACACAAGGTTTTATCAATCTTGTAATTTTTAATCCACAACCAGGAGGAGAAGTGGGAGAAAGATCTGTGAGTATTTTCAAGGTAAGAGATTTCTTCTCAAATGGCATGAAGAAGACTACTTAATCTGGAAAGGAGTAAAAGGAAGTTTGATGGTGTTAATATCAGAGAGGAGAGAGTGTTCTAGGGTCTTGAAAATTATTGTGGGGTTTTGAACATATGAATGACATGCTGATTTACATTTTATAAGTTTACTATGGCTACTGTATTGAGAAAAGACTAAAGGGGATGACAAAGGGCTAAAGTGGGGAGATAAGTTACGGTGCTACTGAAAAGATCCAGATGAAAAATTGTGMTGACTCAGCTGAGAATGTCAGTAGTGGAGACAATAAAAAGTGCTTGGATTTTGGGGTGTATTTTGAAGATGACACCAACAGGATTGAGTAACAGGTTGAATATGGGGTTTGGGAGAAAAGAAGGAATCAAAAAAGACTCTTAAGCGATTGTTCTGAGCTTCTTGGAGGATAGAACAAATATACTGTGAGATGAAGAAGAAAGGGGAATGAACCTGCTTGTTGGGGGATATTTTGAAGCTGGTTTTTGCTTTTATGCTATGTTGTGGATACTTATTAGACATTCAAATAGGCATACTTCATACATGAATAGGTATGTGAATCTGAAGTTGAGAGGAAAGATGGGAGCTGAAAATACAAATTACTAAAACCATAGACTCGGCATATACACTAAATAACACATCTGATTGTCATTTCTTTCTCATATTCTGACCTAATGTCTGATTGTTCTATACTGTAGTTTTTGTGTCTTACCATCAGTGTTATCCTCTGCAACTGGAATAATAATGTCAGTAAATGTTTGCCATATCAAAGAGGTAAAAGAATGAAAGGGGAGGGCTTTATATACTGTGTCAAAGAGTTTAAAATGGGTTACTCTATTGCTTGTTAAATACAGTTTCTGAGCAGAATCTTTACTTGATTCATCTGTACCTTAGGAAGATTATTAAGTAACTGTAAAGGATAAAGTGGAGGACTGAAATTTACAAACAATGAACATCTGGTACTTAAGGGCAGTGAATGAAGAGAGTGGAGAAGATAAGAGAAAGAGCATAGATGCATGACAGTAGATCATAAAGGTGATTGCTTCTCGTCCCATCAGGTGACGTGATATTATACCTTACTATGTACTAGCATAGTAAGGTATGTATGCAGGAACCATCATTTAAATATGTCTTATTTATGTTGGATAGATATTCTATAATAATCATATTTCCATAAAAAGAAAAAAATTTAAAAATCAAATATACTTCCAGTCTGGCTCATCCTTCCTCTCAATACCCATCCATGCCCAAACCCAGCACTGCCTTCACTTTACTAAATCTTTGCTCCTCTTTCTTCTAGGTAAACATTTCCCTCCCCACAACACCTATATGTTAATGTTTAACTTAACTGCAAAATATCTTTTACTTTTTACTCGCCAGTAAAAGCCTTTCCTCTCTGCTCTTACTGCATTCACTTTAAATTGCTATTGTGATATTTATTATATTGTGTATGTCTAGCTTAAATATTTATTAGGTCTCAGACTCCTTAGTATCTTTCATATGCATTTGATTAAATACACTTGCTATTTTATAAGCTTCTATATGCACACAAGGAAAATTCTATAGCAATTCTGAATACATTGATATTTACAAATGAACATAACTATTTATGCATAGTAACATTTAATACAAATATGAGAAAGGGATAAAGAAATTATCAGAGAATGAAAGCAAAGAAATGAGTCAAAATAAATAGGAAATTAAAGTTGGTGAAAAGAATTGTTATCTGTTGAGCATGTCTTATAAATTAGATGGTCTATTGAGATACTGGTATATATTTTATCATTTATCCCTAAAAACACTCTGAAGTAAGCATAATCATTGTATTTAAAATGTGGAAAGGGAGGCACAGAAAACAGCAGTTGGGATGAAATTTTGAAGACATGCATTCATGAGGATAATCAAAACTTTACAAGTATATCTAAAGACTTAATTGAAAACATGCATGATGTCTGTGGGGAACAGGAAATGAGGGAGAAGTGATAATCATGGAGATGAGCATGTCCAGAGTGGATATCTTTTTAGATTTAAGTATAATAATTTCCAAATTTTTGTAGTTTTCTTTGGAACATTGTTCTAGTGGGGCATTTTTTTCTTTAGATAATCTAAAATTACAATTATATTCTATATCTTATCAAAATATTCAACAAGACTGATAGCTTTCTCAATATGCACACATTTACTACCCTTTATCACATCTCTAAATTATGTGGAGCAAGATCTTATGTTAGATTTGTTRAATGTGTTATGTAGGCAGATAAACACTGAATGTGAATTTACATTCCTTTAAGGCTCCTGCTGAACACCAAAGCACCAGAACTTTAGAATAAGGCCAAAAAAATAAAGTGGCTTCCTGTTTATTTCTTGCTTAATATTTATTATCATTATGTGGTGAGCTCATTGCTAGTGTTGTTTTCTTCTAAAGGCCTCAGGTATCCTCATCTTTCATCATGTATTTTTTTTTTGGACTGAAAGAACAATGGCTTACTATTAAAAATTTTTACTATATTTACTTTAAATAAGGAAACACCATGTCTTGATGTAAAAGATATTTCAAAGCAAATGTTGGATTAATCACTGTTTTTTTCATGTTTCTTGAAATGAGAAATTGATTGTCTTTTTGAAAATGACAGCTCTCTAAACCCTAAGGTAGTCCAAATTAGAATAACACAATCATCCATCTGTTGTTAGCTCCCTCAGGACTTTAGTCCATTATAAAATTTGCAAATCTGGAAAAAAACAAATTAGTTTGGCTTTTTATCCCCTTAAAGAAAGAAGAAAGAACAAATAAACTTTTGCACATTTGCAGTTTGTATATCATATAGTACCTTTCCAAATCTTAATTGATGTTAGTTATTTTTCATCAGTTCATCTTTCTGGAATCAGTCAGGTATTTTTTCTTATTATAAATGGTTCTTTGATATAATAAGTTAAATAGCCCTTTCAGGGTTGTAGATATTGTAACTTTACCTTCTTTTTCTTCTAGATGCAAGCTAGCTCAAAAATGTCAGAAAATTTTGCATTGTTTTACCTTCTGACTTTTACAATACAGGTTTTAGATTTAATATATACAATTACAAACCATTTACACTTTCTTTGAAGAGTAAGCAAATATATCCCTTTATCTCATGTTTATGAAACATGWTTGTGAGTAAAGCCCAATGCTTAATAATTGCAAGACGATGGCTGATATGAACCTGTCTTCAATAAGGGCTACTATTGATTTATACTACATATAGTAAAAGAGAAAATAAAGAAATGCAG